TACGTACCAATAAAGTGTTTGTACATAACCATCTAGTCTTAGCGGTTGTAGTCTCATAATATGCAGAAAGACTCGACACCTCCTCCACTGTCGTCTATTTTCTTTGACAAAAATTGTCATTTCTCTTGTTTAAACTTGTTTTCTTGTTTGTTAAGATTTAATAACATAATAGAGACAAAAATATAAGCATCAAATAAACTTAAGGTTGTGGGTATTATTGTCCTTAACCAAAAAGAAGTTGAAATTACAACAAAGGACAAATAAAAATAGGTTTTTATTACAGTTGAGATCTTATAAAACCATTGTTCATGTAAGTGTAATAAAATGTCTATTAAAATGTACATTTGACAATCTTGATATGTTTTGACGATAACAAACAAAAGTCGACAACTTTTTTATGGATTAATATTTACAACTCCTGTGCGTAAATAAATATCTCCAAAAAGGAAAAAAAATAAAGTCTTCGAAATTTATTTCCATATGCATTGCTAATCACATTGAATATATTTCCTAAGATGCGTGCAAATATAAACTGTATATCAACTAGAAAATCATATCTTGAGACAAAATTCAAAAGTGTCGTAGTCTCATAACACCGACTGTACACGTATATTTTTTTAAATTCAATATTTATTCCAAATTAATATTTTCTATAAAATATTTTAAAACAAAAAATTATAAATTTTATAAGACTCACCTACTCATCCTTTGAAAAAAATATAATATCACAAACTATATAATTTTTCTTTTAATTATTGCGTTTTAAAAATCAGATTTATACGTTATTTTAATTGATCACCTCTCCCTATTTCAACACGTCACACAAACTTTGTATTATATTTAATAGTGATGGATTTCAAAAATCCAACTTTATATGCTTTTATTTGAAAATATATTGATTTTCATCTACATACTATTTCCCTTTGTTCAACAAGTAGGGTTGCATTACGGTGGGTGAGTCGGTGGGTAGGTTGGATTGAATAATAAAATCCAGTATTTTTGGTTTAAAATCTCAGCTAAGCGTAAATAAAACTACAATTTAATCCAAACCCAGATTATACGGTTTGATTGGTCGTGTTGAAACTTTGGTACATTATTTTACAGTTTATCTAAACGATTGTGTTTAAAGAAAGTAAAATCTAAATGAAAACATACAAAAAAGTTGAAGGTTCATGCAAATAAGAAAATAAATGATTGTTGAAATTGTGAAATAAACCTGAATAGAGCTAATTACGAATTGATATAATGTATATGTATCAACTAAAAAATTTATATAGAAACACATCAGGTTCATTGAGGTGAGTTGGGTTAAAATGACTTTAACCTAATTCCAACCTAATACATATGATTTAAAGATTTTACAACTCAATTAAGTATCAAGTTGCGCCATGTTGAATGAAAATTTTAGTCAGGTTTTTATGCAACCCTACTAACAAGTCTTTTTGAACGATTTTGGATTAGTCAAATAATGCAAAAAAATAAAATAAAAGGACCAAAATTGTAGATTGATGAATAGTTGAGGGACCAAGCAAATCTTTTAAATTTAAATATGCAATTATTTGTTTTATATAAAGAAAATAATACTTTTTAAGTATTATGTGGGATAAACCAATAGCATTATAAGGTATTAAAAAAGTAATAAAAACACATGGGAGTGAAATGCAATAACCAAATGTTGAAGGGCAAAGATTGTACGAGGTTGGGACTTTGGACTAACCTTCGAGGAAGGTGTGTGTTCTTTGTTTTTTCCCTCCTCGTTTGGAGCATTTTATTTATTTACTTTTTTACTTATAATTATATATATATATATATATATATATTATTTAGAAAGAATTGCATGAAAAATAACGTAATTTAACTTGATTTTTATTTTGGGTAATGTATTTTCAAAACTTTTATTTTGGTACCTAAGATATAAATTTTTAAATATTTAAGAATCCATGTAACCGGTTGAAGCATTAACAGGTTACCATATTGATATGATGAATAATGTGGTATCCAACTTAGTATCATTTGTTATTCAACCCAATTTCATCATATCTCTCGCCACATCAACATGGTAACCGGTTGATGTTTCAACAGGTTACTCGAGTACCATGCTGATGTGTTGAGTGACGAGATGAATTTGGGTTGAATATCAAATAATATTGAGTTGGATACCACATCATTCGCCACATCAGCATGGTAGTCGGTTAATGTTTCTGCCGGTTACCCAGGTATTTAAATGTTTAAAAAGCTTTATGTCTTAGGTATCAAAATGAAAGTTTTAAAAGTACGTTACCCAAAACAGAAATCAAGTTAAAATACGTTACTTCTTCATTCAATTTGTCCTTATATTTACATTAAAATATTAGATAAAACATTTTTAGTAGATTTTCTAAAATGAAAAAAACAAACTTTCTAAAATAAAAAAAAAGCTAGATAAATGATAAAAAAAATTTTCCCTGAATTTAAAGAAATCTCAAAAAATAGTTACAATAAGAGATACAAAAATTTAATTATGAAAAATCTATTGAAAATCGTATCATTATATTAATTAATTTTTATATGTTAGATCTTACATATAATCTTTTGGTATCTTATTACGCTTTTAAAAATTATATCATTATATTAACTAATCGTCACATGCTTCGGTAACTAAAGTATTTCATACAAGTTATTGGGCAAATGGTTTTTAAAAACTACTTCATACGTCATGAAATAAACATCCATAAATAAATAAAAACACAGTTTTAGAAATTTATAATTATTACACTTTTATAGTCAACTTATCGACAATTATACCCTTTGTAATAAAGAGATACATGAAATAGTCATTTACTTTTAAAAGTAGACATTTAATATGAGACAAAATAAAATAGAAACGTGGACACTTGTTTTAGACATAGAGGGTCATTTTCTTTACTAAAAGTAAGTTTTTTAGTTACTGTGAGAAACATTTAATATTAATTTTTATACATATTTTAACTGGTAACTAATGGATCTTATAAATATTGAAAATGTGAAATGCCAATACGTCAAGTTATATTGTAGTTGTAGGTAATATAAAAAAATAGTACATCACAACCAATCGATTTCATGTTGGTTGAAAATCAATTTATCAGCCAAAACTAGTACAAAATAAGAAGAGTTAAATCTTTATTATAATAAATGAGAAAAAATCCATCATTACGGAATAAAACCTGAGACTAGTTTCATTACAGATTGATATATTTTGCATGAAAAATAGGTCTCGATTTTTGAGTAAACATCCATTTTCTTTAATTAGTCGTCATGTAATATTTTTAATGCTAATCATATATTTAACAAATTAACATTTATTCGTTTTATCAAGTCTTAATCATTTGAGAACTTTATATTTTATGGTAATCATGAAAACTTTTATTTTATGGTATTGTTTCACGTGATTTTTTCCATCTAAGATTAACATTTAATATATTGATAAACATATATTTGTTTTACAATGTGTTTATTTCATATGTACTCATTTCACAATGTAAAACTTTTTTATATGTAACCTTTTGTTTCACAAATATGCTAAAAATGTTCACATTGTGAAACTAATATATACTAATAAATATTATAAATCATGGTCTTAAAATGATATGAAATAGCATGTCATGCACTAGTTATCAATGTTATCACAATTTCATAAGTTATCAAAACAACATCCTCAATACTAAATTTAAATTTTGATATTCAAAAAGGAAAATTGCACCAAAATGAAACAAACTTTCACCTAATTCTTATTTTGGGGAACCAACTTGTACTTGATTCCTATTTTGGGGAACCAACTTGTACTTGATTCCTATTTTGGGGAACCAAATTTCAAAATCGCCATTTTGGGGAACCAACTTGCACCTGATTCCTATTTTGGAGAACTAACTTGCAAAATAATTATAGAAAAATAACTAAAATTTATTTTTTTTCCAATAAAATCTATTTTTCATTTCAAATCTCGTTTTTTTTTTATTTAGACTTCAAATTGAACATTCAATTGGTTAGATATAAAAATCTTGAATGTGATATTTAATATTTATTTTTTATTGCATCAATTAATTTTTTCTATTAAAGTGATTTTTTTGCGTTAGTGACAAACAATTTTTATTGTGGTAATTTGTTTTTTTTAATGTTCAATTTGATATTTGAATTAAAAAAAACGAGATTTGAAATAAAAATAGATTTTATTGCATTAATTTTTGGAAAAAAACAAATTTTAGTTATTTTTGCAAGCTAGTTTCCTAAAATAGGAATCAGGTATAAGTTGGTTCCCCAAAATAAAGATTTTGAAAGTTGATTCCCCAAAATAGGAATCAGGTGCAAGTTGGTTCCCCAAAATGAAGATTTTAAAAGTTGGTTTCCTAAAATAAGAATTATGTGAAAGTTGGTTCAATTTTGATGCAATTTTCCCTATTCAAAATCCAATTATGCGATATTATGCATCAGAGGTGTTTATGAGTTAGATTAATCGGGTTGGGTGCAATTGGAGAACACAACCCAACCCAATGTTGGCAGCGTGAAAATTTTCAACCCAAACAAAAAGGCAACCCAATCCAACCCAACCCGTTTCAGGTTGGTGAACAGGTTGTTTTTAAACAAAGTGAAATCAACATTGAAAACATAAAAATAAATAAAACCTTTCTTTAAAATACGATCAGTCATTCAAAAAAATATATGAGTTTATCAAATTATTACATATAACTTCTAAAAACAAATTTTAAGCCAATTTTTTTTATGTAATTTTAAATATTATTTTTGGTGATTAAAACACAATTGGATCCGAATAAATTTCCCCATGACAATTGTCTCCTTTTCTTCTTGCTTTTCAAACAAAAGTATGAATTTTAAATAAATAATCCAAAGATGATAATAATAATAATAATAAATAAATAAAATTAATTAGGTTGAAAGTGAGCGATAAAAACTGAATCCGCTGTTGGAACGGCCCACTGGAAAACCAAAACCATGGCCCCTGGTATTTCTTTCCTCCCCTCCCCTTCTCCAAATCAACTCTATCTTTTCAACCAACACAATAACATCCTCTTTCATCCATCCCATTTAAGCACTCTCAATCGTCGTCACCATCACCCTGATCTTCATCTTCAGGGGTTGCATCGTAACTATCCTAAAAGATGCACTCATTTCCCTCATATGTCTGCACAACAAAGTACGATTTCCATCATTGATTCTCTTCCTTTTTCTCTTTCCCTTCGATACCCAGATCGTAATTTTTACTCCCTGTGGATAAATCAAAAGTTTCTAGCTTTTGTGGGAGGTTTTCAGTTTTCCGTATAACGTTGGGTTGATGCGTGTAATTTAGTGTTTTCATCGAGTTATGTCAGACTATCGTTAGCAGTTGCTATATCTTTTCTTTTTCCTTTTCTTTTATCGCCTTTTTTGTGAGTTTTTGAAAATACCCTTATCGAATTACCGGCGAAATTGCTGTTTTTTTATCTGGGTATTGGATTATTATATATAATTTATTTTATATATATATATATATACACACACACACAAAGGTGGTTTTATTGCATGCAAGTTTGGTTACCAAATGGGAATGGAGAAAGTATCAGGTGAAAGGAAGAAGAGGAGAATGAGGCAGAAGAAAATAACAGCAGTTCAGAAGCTGTATGATACGTGCAAAGAAGTCTTTGCCAATTGTGGACCTGGAGTTGTTCCATCTGATGAGGGTATTGAACGCCTAAAGGATATTTTAAGTAAGTTTTTCTTTCCAATTTGGATATTGTCTCTCTGATGCTGACTATGATCATTGATCAGAATGGTTATGATGATATGATTCATGGTTCATATCAATATTCATATATGAATCTTTGCAGTTTTTAGCAACTGGATCTACATGGAGTCTTTTGAAAGTTTCTTTCTTGATTTTGTATATATTGTGAATGTTGAAAATAATACATTTTGATCCATGGGTTTGGTGTCTTTTGAGTTTTTGATTTCAGGGTAAATTTAATTTAATGGGTTAAAATTGAGTTTTTAAAATTGATAAATAATTAATTTATGTCAAATATTTCAAGTTTATTGCCATATAATTGGAGCCAAAAAACTGACAATATCTATTTATAGTTTGAATTTAGAATAGTGTTAGGTTTGAAATTTTGAAAAATCACAAGTAATTCTAATTAATGGAAAGGACGAGTTCATGAAAATGATGGAACATATTGAAACCTTTGATACTCTGTTTCAATCTGCTTCTAATGTTATTTATGAAATTGCCTGCAAATTCAAATCATTCGACACTTATCAAATCAAATGAGTTTGGGATGGTTGCATAACGTCGAATTTAACACGTTTTAGTAATGTATCAAGAACCCTTGATATGGATTTTTGTTTCTGTATGGACTCCAATGAAATTAGAGGCTACCATCACTTATCTTGATTATCTATAAGATGTTTTATAGGCATTAGGTTTAAGATCAACCTTTAATCTTTAAAAAAGGATGATTATTTCGGGTTTTCTTGATCTGATTTTGATGTCTAGTTTGATTAAGTCTTGTGAAAACAACAAGATCAACACGATTATGAGGCTTAAAATCAAGATGGTATTTAAAGTGTTTGTCAAAGGGTATCAAAGACAATGTGTGGATGATAGTATCATGAGATTGTAGGGTAAAATGCACAAAGATTTTACTTTGTTCTCGTTGAAGGATTATAGCGATTGGATCTTCTTTTCTCTTCTTTCAGACGGGATGACTCAACTTGACGTTGGTGTACGGCCTAATATGCCTTATTTCAGAATTAGAGAAACAGGAGGATTTCCTAAAATTACATATCTACACCTTTCTGAATGTGACAAGTTTTCGGTATGTTTTGTTTGGTAATCTCTCATATTCTATTCTTCTACTTGTTCGTATAGCTTTTAGAGTTGCACCATTTAGTTTCAAATTTAGAGGTGATTCACAATCTCTTGAAAACCCACAAATTTTAAGGGAAAAATATGGAAATTGCGGTTCACTTGTACCATTTGCCATGGCAGATTGGAATTTTCCTCTTGCCACCATTCGGTGTACTCCCGCTCCATAATCATCCTCAGATGACGGTTTTCAGTAAGCTTCTCTTTGGAACCATGCACATCAAAGCTTATGATTGGGTGGACGATGGCGCTTTGATATCATCTGCTCCTAAAGCGGATTCATCAGAGGGTGAGTTCTTAATTAGAGACATTTGTGTTCTGTTTTTCTATCTCTTCTTGAGATATGCCAATTGGAATTGGAAGCTTGTTATCTTGATCAAGTGCTACAGGGTCGAAAAAGGCATTTTCTTTCATCCTTTTGCATGATGAAAACATGAATTAGTTTCCATTTTTTGGCAATCCGAATCTTAGAAAAGAACCCTGTATTTGGTTTGATTCTTGCAATACAAATTGTAAACTTTTAAAGGTTGCAACTTTAAACCAATTGGCTACAAGCTGATTGGCCCATGGTCTATTTATGCACATCTCTACAATGTGGGATTCGTAGTCTGTATGGAATTTCACTTTGGGGCTATTTGGTTGGTTTTCCGTATAGTCCTATATGGATAAATGTGTCTGTGTAGATTAGTATCTTTGTATTGATTGGGAAGATTTTTGTTTGGGAGAGTTTTTTCATAGATGAAAAGTGCTTGTTTTGTTAATCGTGAGGAGCATATTTGGAAGAAAAAAAACTTGACTTTTTGCATAAAGCTTCCTCCTCAATGCTTACTGAATAAGTCACTTTCTATATCATTAAGCCAGTATCAAACAACCATATATGGCTCAACGAATAAGTTGCGAGTCCCATTAAGCTGTGCTAACAAACAGACTCTTATTCTTACATGGTATCAGAGCAAAAGTCTTGCCACTTTATGGACTCGACACCTTGGGTAATCCGTACCTGTCCAACCCCATCTCTTTCTGAGACAATTTGTGTCAGTCCAGCCTCCGTTGGAGTGGCATACTGGTGTGTTAAGAGTCCCACATCGGTCAGACTTTGACCATTTCTCCTCAATATATGTCGGAACCTCCCATCTCTCCAGAAGGGCTATTCTGGAGAGTAATCTAATGAGGTTTCACATTTTCTCACAGTAAAGTTTGTCTTTACTTTGTATTCATGGTTTCACATTTTCTCACAGTAAAGTTTGTCTTTACTTTGTATTCATGGTTTCACATTTTCTCACAGTAAAGTTTGTCTTTACTTTGTATTCATGGTTTCACATTTTCTCACAGTAAAGTTTGTCTTTACTTTGTATTCATGGTTTCACATTTTCTCACAGTAAAGTTTGTCTTTACTTTGTATTCATGGTTTCACATTTTCTCACAGTAAAGTTTGTCTTTACTTTGTATTCATGGTTTCACATTTTCTCACAGTAAAGTTTGTCTTTACTTTGTATTCATAACTCGAAACTGATGCACTCTGTTTTACAATCAGCTGAAGTAAAACCTGTTAGTGTACGTTTGGCCAAACTGAAGGTTGATTCTGACTTCACCGCCCCTTGCAACACGTCGATTCTTTATCCGACAGATGGCGGTAACATGCACTGCTTCACCGCATTGACCTCATGTGCTGTGCTCGATGTTCTTGGCCCGCCATACAACGATCCTGAAGGCAGACACTGCCAATACTATCAAACTTACCCTTTTGCTCATTTCTCAGGTTCGCTCATAAACTCTCTTCTTTTCTCTTTTACCAATAAAAAAGTCATAAAAGTCGCAACTTTTTGGTCATGTGACAGCTGACGATAAAAAGTTGGATGATGGAGAGAAGAGCGAAGACTACGCATGGCTGGAAGAGATAGAGAAACCCAAGGGGTTAGCTGTGATCGGAGCAATCTACAACGGACCAAAAATCGTCGAGAAATGAAGCGGATTTAAAAACTCTGTGTTTGTATTTTCTGTTTTTTTTGGGGTAAAGATGGTGTACATAATTTGAGCACAGCCATAGAAAAGGGTTCATGTAGAATTTGGTGATTCAAATCTTAGCAATTGGGAGAAAGTGTTGGCTATAAAAGGGAGGGAATAGAAAGAAAGAAAGAAAGAAAGAGTACTTTTCTTGAATTGTTTGAGACAGACATAGAGACATGTTGGTGTTATAAATGGGTCCATATTTCCATGGTTTTGCTCAATTTTGCTTTCTTTATATTTCTAATTTAGGAAAGGGTTTCATTGCAAATGAACCATGTGTTTTTTTTATAAGAAAATATATATAATCATTTATATTATATATGCTAAACCAAAGACCATTTGATATATAATGAAACTGATTTTAGTAAGGTGCTATCTGATTTATGTGGAATTTGATGAAATTGGCATGACATTCTTTTGACCAAATTTCATGATGATGTCTGGTTAACGAAATGAATTGATTGGATTCTACTGATTCCGTGATTGAGGATTTCACCACCACCCCCACTACTGCCCACCCCAATAAACCTTCATTGCCGCCACCGTTGTCATTGCTATAATTGCCACCACCGACCATCCTCTATCGTTACCACTACCATTATTGTTCACATTCATGGTTGACACCTCGCCACAACCACCATGATACTACTATTACCATCACACCACCACCCATTCATACCCCACCACCTCAATACTGTCGTCGTCACTGTCACCCACCCATCTTAGTTAAAATATTAATTTGGAAGACAAGATGGTGTATTCGATCATCAAACAAATAATTTTGTTAGAATATATATCAAACTAAATATTGTAATTATTTTGAAATACATAGTGGAATAGTAAAATGGCACTCAAAAACAAATATTAGTGTTGCAATAGATATTTTTTATTTACTTTGTCTTGTTAACTAGTCTTTTAAATATTTGATCGTTATGCAAAAGTTCTTACAAATACATTAAATCATCGTATTGCATTTTTTTAAGAAAGTGATACTAATTTTAAAAAAAGTCTAAAAAATAAGCAAAATATTACATTTTAAGTAATTAAGTCTCTAAACTATAGCGGGTTGGATATTCAGGTTAATAAAAAAAAGTCTCTAAACTATTTTTTTTAACAAATAAATTCTTGAACTTTATGAAATCGAAAGAAATTTACCATTTTTAAACTATTTTTTTGAACAAATAAATTCTTGAACTTGTAAAATGAAAGAAATTTACCATTTCTTTTTCCATTTATCGATAAACTAAAAGAAAAGTACAACAAAACAATAAAACGAAAAAAATACTTCATTTTAATTAACTATAGTTTACTTTCAAATTTATACGACAATTATTGGTGTTTGTTACAATCCTGATGATTGTCATTTGAATTTGAAAAATAAATGATTATTTGAATCCCATTTGAATCTGAAAATTAAATAATGAATAATGAAATGGTATTCATTAAATATGAGAATTCATTAAAAATTTCTCATTTCTAATAAGTAAAATGATTTATTTATGGGAAAAGTCTAAAAAAACCCAATGGACTTTAGTGTTTGGAATGATTAAGTCTTTGGACAAATTTTTGGAACAAATAAGTCATTGAACATTCCAAAACATGTTAAATAACTCATTAGATAATTCTTTGCAACAAATAAGTCATTGGACAATTTAAAACATATTAAATAACTCATTGGACAATTTTTGGAACAAATAAGTCATTGGACAATCTAAAACATGTTAATTAACTCCTTGGACTTTTTTAAAACCTGTTGAATACATTCTTATGACTTGTACAACTAGTTAAAGTGGTAAAATAGTGACAAAAGTCCGAAAAAACCCCCAATAAACATTCATATTTTGAACGATTAAGTCCCTAAATATTTTTTGAACCAAAAAGTATTTAAATCTATAAAATTAAACAAATATAACAAAAAATTACTTACATTTGCAAAAAAATAATTACATTAA